TACTCGAGCTTACATGCTGTACCATCTTCTGATGCTGGTGAGAGGCGGTACTTAAGCTTACGTGCTGCACCATCTTCTGATGCATGGGATAATCAGCCAGCTACAGTGCATGGCTATCAGTTTGCATCTTATCTCAATCGATTTGCAAAGGACAGAGACTCTACTTGCTTGAATGGTCAAGTTGAATCACCATTGTTGAGATCTCCTTCCCTAGGCATCACAAATTATAGAGGTTCACTGGGTTTCACACTGGGTCAAAAACTGCAAAATGGGATAACCTCTGCACAAGCATCTGGGTTTAACCTTGCAGTTTCTAGAAATACTCTACTACAGCCTGAAAGATCTTATTATGATGTTTACCCTTCTGTACCACCTGACAGTGGATTGGTATCAGCCAATACAAAGAAGTACCATAGCTTGCCAGACATCTCAGGACTCGTTCCTCAAAGGGATCTGTTGAAGTCTGATAATTGTGCTCAGTGGGATGGTCCTATCGGATATGGCTCACCTGTTGGTAGGAAAAATTACGGAACACCAATGCATTCAAATACTGAATCAAGAGCAGGAGCTCCTTTGGCCTTCAATGAGCTCTCTCCCTCAAAGAGCTCTAGGGAAAATTTTCCTTTACAATTTGGTTTGGGTTCTGATACTGGATCCCTGTGGTCTACACAGCCTTTTGAGCAGTTTGGTGTGGCTGACAAAAGTCGTACTGCTGGGATTGAAGGACTTGGAAGTGAGCTGAACTCCATTGCTCAGGATGCTACTATATTGGTGGATTCAGAAGCAAAGCTTCTTCAGTCTTTCCGATATTGTATTTTTAGGCTTTTGAAACTGGAAGGATCTGACTGGTTGTTTAGACAAAGTGATGGAGCTGATGAGGAATTAATCGATCGTGTTGCTGCAAGAGAAAAATTTCTGTATGAAGCTGAAACTAGAGAGATAAACCAGCTTGGCTGCATGGGTGATTCTCAGGATTTGTCATCTGAGAGGAGATATGGTTCTGCACTGAAGAATGGTGAGGCAGGGTTTGCCAACTTACTTATTTCTTCAGTTCCTCAATGTGGTGATGGATGTATTTGGAAGGCAGATTTGATAGTAAGCTTTGGGGTGTGGTGCATTCATCGGATTCTTGATCTTTCACTTATGGAAAGCCGACCGGAGCTGTGGGGAAAATATACTTATGTGCTTAATCGTCTTCAGGTAAATTTCGTTGTCACTTTTCTCCTTAGTACTGGTATGAAGTTGTGGTGCTTAATTAGATCTTGTTCTTTATGATAAATATGGTGGTTTGGTACTCTTCAATGTTAAACAGGTTTTAGGTTTTTATTGTTTGATCTCCTGATTTCAAGTCAGTGGGACATTCACTTCCAATGGGGTAGCCTAATTTCCATAAGCTTTCATCCCATTCCAAAAACACTAAATTTTTGTAAAATCTTGTTGTCTTACTGCCTTACAATTTGGACCATGCACTTGTTGGTTTCATAAACTTCAGTTTTGTTCTCTTCCTTTCTGCTTCTTGGTGCTTGAGTTGATCTCTTTAAAGATTTCCTCTTTGCCCTTGGATTGATTGTGAGTGTTGTGCACTTAGCCAGAATCTAGGAGCTACTTTCTACTTTTTTGCTTTTAATATCCCCTTGTAATTTAGTGAGCTGAAGTGTAACAAATACTTGTCATTAACAGGGTGTGATAGATCTTGCATTCTCAAGGCCCCGAAGTCCAATGTCTCCTTGCTTCTGCCTTCAAATTCCTGGGCCACAGAGGTCAAGTCCACCTGTTTCGAACGGAATGTTGCCTCCACAAGCAAAACCCGGTAGGGGTAAATGTACAACTGCCGCTATGGTTCTAGACATGATTAAGGATGTGGAGATGGCAATATCTTCTCGAAAGGGTCGAGTGGGTACCACCGCTGGTGATGTAGCATTTCCGAAAGGAAAAGAGAATCTGGCATCTGTTCTTAAACGCTACAAGCGTCGACTGTCCAGCAAGCCAAGCATCAGTCATGAGGGGCATGGATCACGCAAGGTTCCAGCACAATCTCCTTTTAGTTCATAGCTTTCATTTCAGCTAGCCTTCACTGGGTTGACAATTGTTGAGCTGCTTTGATTTTGGAAAAGCAGCTCGCACTGTAGCTCACTCATCCGACTCTCTCTCTCTCTCTCTGTGTCTCCCCTTCCCTCATTCTCGTGTATCAAAAGTCACTGCTGCAAATTCAACTCTCATGTAGTATGTTACATATAGATATACACAGAACAAAAGTTGCTGGATATGTAATTGCAGCGGAATTAAAGAAAATGAGTCGATGAAAGGTGTTGTTTTGCCTTTTTTGGGTGGGGGAGGTAGGGGTCGGGTTTGGATGATCATGGCTTTTCTTAAAGAAAAAAAAAAACTGGTCTGCAAGTACTTTAGATTTATTGTTTCTTTGACGTTAAAGGGTTAATCACCACAGCAGATAATTTGATTTATGAGATGGTATTTATTAATGGATTCAAGAAGATTCAACCCTGGCTATTTTGAGTAGTGTTTGTTCTGACTTCCTTAAAATAGTTACTAATTAGCTTTTATTAAATTAGTTATATATTTTGAATTATAAATATCAATAATAATTAATTGTTATATATTAATTATCAATTATTAATTGTTTTAAAAATGTTAATTCAAACAGCTTATTTTAATTACTAATTTTTGACAACAAAGTTTCATAAAAAAAGAAAAGAAAAGGAAGGGAAAAAGGGAGAAGTTTCGACAACTAATAAAAAATAAAAATGAAAGAAAGAAAGTCATGTAATACAAAACAAAACCAATCTCTTTCAGGTGCCAACTGCAGCTGATTTCAGAAGGGATTTTTAGCAAATGAGAAATGAGAAGATGGTAATTAGCAAAGAAAATTTGCTTCCTTGCCGACGCAACCTCTTTTGGTATTGGTACACGTGGTGGCCCTCTTCGCCAAATACCAACTGACTTTACTGGATTTTTATTTACTTATTTATTTATTTTATTCTTGCTGTGTTTTCTTCCATCACTTCCATACAAATCAAATCATCTCCCTCCCAGGTCTCAACCTCCATTAAAGATGAAAGAGTAATAACCGCCTTAATTTTTATTTTTTTGGCCTCCAATAGCTGGCTTAATTGGATCCTGAGAAGGTATGCATGATCATGTACCCTGTTTTTTTTAATATTCATATCAAATTCATTTCTAACAACTAGATCTGTTTTTCTTTTGTATATTGCATTTTAATTTCTAGACTTGGATCATATGTCAGAACTGCCAGAAAAAGAAAAAAAAAATTCTGGAAATTAACTTATCTCTTATTTTTGCAGTAAATAGACTAGCTTCTGTAAGCCCTATCCGATGTAATATTGTGTTTAATTTATGTTGGATTAGGAGTCAAGACTCAGAGTTTCAGGAGCACACAGACTAGATTAATCCTGAAAAAAATATGGGTTTTGTTGTGGTTGTTTCATTGCCGTTGATATTGTTCATCTTGATCGTTGCCCTGGCGTTTTATCTCCTGGGTAGGGCTCGGGGTCGAAGGGGAAGTGCACCGCAGTATTATGGACCTCCTGCTCCTCCATTTCAACCCCCACCTCCATCCCAAGGAAAAACTTGATCGTCAGAAGCTTAGGATGTTGTACAAAGTTACTAGAAATTAATTTTATTGTATGCCTCTGTCACTTAAAGGACATATATGAACCATTCATACTAATTGTTATCTGTTTGTATTTAATCTTAAAGAGATTTGTTTAGTCAGTATACTAATGTTTGATTCACAGAAAAAAACTCTAAGGAAAAGAAAGTGATTCTTAGGAATTCTCGGATTCATTTGATAGCACGTTATTATTGTGAAATTTTGTTCTTGTATGATTGTGGGAAACAAAAACATAGGACTCAGAATTCCAAGGTTGAATTCGTTATTTAATAAGTATTCTTTTGTAGATTATGTTTAAAATTTAAGTGTGGAAGTAAATATTTAAAAAAATTAATTTTTTAAATATATTAGACTAATATGAATGTGTGTTTTTAAAATAGTTAAAAAAAAATTTTTTTTAAAGTAATGTTTACACCTAAAAATAACGAAACAAATAACAGCAGTCAAATTTCATTAAGATTCCGTATGCCAACAACCCTTTATTGCATAACACTAGCATTCTTAAAATGAGGCAAACAACATTTACAAAGTACTACCGGCTTACTTAATTCACCCCGGACCCTCTTTATTATCCGACATCAGTTATGAATTTGCAATTATGTGTTTCGAATTGAAGTCATAATTTATGATTTATGGAGTGTTAGGCCAGTAAATCATGATCAACCTAACCTACCCATTTTATCGGTTCAAAGATGAAAGAAAACCAAACCCATATATTGGTTTGGGATTGTGGTAGGAGAAGGCATATCACTCCATATACAGAAAAATGTGGCAGTCAGTCCATACAAATTTCAACCATTAACCTAATTTTTACAGTGACATCCGACTTTCAGAAATAAATTAAAGTGTTAATTTTAAATGATATTATTTTATTTAATTAAAATTTAATTTAAAATTAAAATCACAACCTAACGTGGCAGCAACAGTGACAAAGAAGTTCTTCATTGGGTCGATGTTCATCATATGGGAAGCTCCTGTTACAATTCCATGCGACTTTCAACCATAATTTGATTGCTGTTAAGAACATCGTGCTTTTCCTCGGATTAATTTTGATATTTTGGATTTAAGATTCTGAGTGTGGGCATTGCTAGGACAAGAAAGCAAATTTACTGATTGGTAGAGGGTCGAATGCAAGAGATGTAGGAGATTTAACCCCCAGAAGGAATTTGCCTGGCCAGGTTGATTCTCGATTACCTGAACCCAACTGTCCAGCAGGTCTACTACTCTCAGACTGAAGAAGTCTTTCAAGCCTGCCGTCCACTCTTGGCGCCACCGCCCACCATCGAACAAAGCCTGCAGTTGACATCACCACAGATCAGCGTCACACCGCCTCTGTTCCGGCATAACTCTGGCCTTCTTTTTGAATCGGTGCTGCCTCTGATTAATTTTGATGTTTACCATGATTAGCTCTGCACCAGCTGCGATTGTTTTACTGACAGTAATTTCTTGACGTTGTTTAATATCTCCTCTATTCTAAAATGCCAATTAACATTGCTTAACATCCCCTGTTCTAAAAATTCCAAGTAATGTTGCTTAACATCCTTTATTTTAAGGGGTTTTCTAATATTTGCCCTTAGAATACACATAGGTTAAATTAAGAGTGTAATTATTATAGTTTTTAATATTAAATTAGTATAAAAAAATAAAAAATCCATCATTAATTTTGTTACTAGTATCATGTGAATCATTTTAATTAAATAGTTGTTTAAATAAATGTTAATTTTTATTTTTTAATATTAATTAATATAAAAAGGTGTAATAATTACCCTTAACATGTGCCTTTCTATTTTTTTAATGCAATTTAAGATTCTGTTTTCAAACAGTATTAATTTGATTATGTTGATTATATTAAAATAGCCTAATGCATAAGAATAGCTTTGCTGCATGAGAGTAGTAAGTTTATAATTTATAAATCTTATCAATGTGAATACAATTACATGTACTAGAAGCCTAAGACCTTATGGCTTGGAGCTAGGAGGAAAGGTTTTAACTTAATTAGGACTCAAGATTTTTCATTACCATCAGAAAATGAAGAAATCATTTTTACTATTGATTTCATTTATGAACAGAGAAGAATAAAGAAAGACGTCTGCATGTTTTGCTTGGTTTTATATTTGCTTCTTACAGGAAACAATTACATAATTTTCATATATAACTTTTCTTTAATAAAATAAAATGATAATGACATTAATCTTTTATCTTCCTTAGACACCGGTATTTCCCATTTCCATTTCAATTTTCAAATACCTAAGCTATTTCTTTTCTCATTTTTTGTATTACCCATCCTTTTTAATTTTCTTTTTCATTTATTACATTTTTAAAAAAAATAAAATAATAAATAAGCATTTACTTGTTACTTCCCCAATGCATTGGCATTCCCCTTTTACATTTTTACTGCCTAACCTTTTTTTTTCCCCTACTTTTTAATTTATATATATATATATTTTTTGAAATGCAGAGAATTATTTCATTATAAGAGTATAAGGGGTATTTCAAACCCGTTACAAGAATCTATGCTTATCTTGCAATAAATCCCCCAAAATGCACTTGGCCTCCAAAATATGAGATAGCCCCTTCCTCTTCAGTTATTTAACCTGGTATTATCAATTCGTTTTACCTTTCACTACTAAAATTCCATTATTCAACAACATGGAAGCATGTCGGTGAAAGTTCTACCCATGTTGTTGAAAGTACTTTAGCAACATGCTTCATGTTGCTAATGCCTTTCTTGGTGAAGCCATGCTCGGTAATGTATCAACAAGGTCCATGTTGCTGATACCTGGCACCCTCTTTAGCAACATACCTCTTGTTGCTGAAAATGGAGATTTATCGACATGGTTCATGTTGCTAAAAAATTCATCGGACCGGCCACCGGAATTTTTCACCATTTTTAGCAACATACTTCTTGTTACTGAAACTGTAATATCATTGACATAGTTCATGTCGGTAAAAATGGTTATCGGAATTCTCTCCCCATCCATGCACTCTTTTTAGCAACATGAGCCACGTATACTTTCACTGACGTGGCTCATGTCGGTAAAAATGGTTACCGAATTCTCTCCCCATCCGATGCACTCTTTCTAGCAACATGAGCCACATCGGTGAAAGTATACTTTCACCGACGTGGCTCATGTTGGTAAATATCATTTGCAGAAAGCGGGAAATTGAATTTTTGTACCTTTTCAGCAACATGAGACATGTTGCTGATAGTTTCATGAATAGTAAGCCCCTTAATTTCAACAACAAGACTCTTGTTGCTGATAATTCGTGGAATAGTTGCTCCACTTCTTTTAGCAACATGTTCCTTGTTGTTGATTGTGTTGGAAAAACCCAACTCATCCCAATTAGCAAGATGCTTCACGTCGGTGATACACTCAAATGCCGATTTTAAAAATTATTTCATTGACAAAGGATACGGTTCTATTTTTTTTTTTT